CCTAATTTAGTACGCGAACGGCGGCGTCGGCAGGCCGTGGCTGAAGTTGCAAACCCGAGCGCACCACTTGCCCAACTCACTAATAAGAAACTGCTTCAGAAAACTCCGACTTGCACATAAGAAACCGACAACCAAGGGAGTTTTCTAAAACTTTCCTATATAGAAAAACAACTTCGTCAGTCTTACGTCAGAATATTGTGTTTACAAAAACATTCACAGAAACGTTTCAATCAAATTGTTTCCGTGAACTCATCAGAACATTCCGCGTACATTAATAATTTATGAAAAACATAAAATACATATCTAGGTAGCGAATAAGTAACAGTAAAAATTAAGCGTGTGACGCGGACGTTTGTAAAAACGGCAATACGGTGGTTTCTTCCAGGAATCTAACTACGCAATTTAGGGGTTTTCAATGTTGGCCGAGAATACAATAGAAAATCAAAATTCAGCGCAATCTTTAACAAATCCCTCGATTGACGCTTTTTTTTCATATGAATACCATATTTAATTCTATATAATATGTATGTTCTAGACAGACGGTGTCACGAAATGCTCTATATAATAAAGGGCAAGTTGTGGCAAGATGTACCAACATCTTGCCACAGCAGCGATACCAAATACCTGAGAGATAGGGGAAGGAATACCACTACCCCCAACTCAGTTGTTTTCTTTGGCGCTTACGAGCTACAAGCACGAGAGGTGGTTGTTAAAAGGGACAAAGACCGTTGACGGGTACCGTGAAATTGTATTACGCTTCCCAAAACCCCTAGGTATGCTTACCGACGTTGCCTCAATGCATACAACATTTTTCGCGGGCCTTTCTAGTGAGTAGCGAGTGCTTTTTCATGATACCAAGTGATAAGACGAACAAGTCGTGCGCCTGGTGGTAAACGACACGCCTGTCCATAACAGTTGCAGTGCCACTCAGAGTACTTCCCTGGACGAACTCTGTCACAAGGAGCTCACACAAGTGCTTTAGTTACTTAATTTGATATCAGAGCAACGTGTGTGATGTTGTCTTATATTTATTTATTTACATTATTAGTATTTCAGTTATTTATGAAGCCAACACAGCAAGTACTAATCCACGTAGATAATGGCGTAAGTCATTTACAAATATTAAAATTACGACGAATTTGCGCACGTTCAATCGACCATTTCACATACATACATATAACCATATTTCTATTGAGTAGGCAGATACTATCTATCGCCAGTTAGCACGATCGTAGCATAATATAAGTAATTAACTTTTACTTTATTATTATTGAGTACCTACTCCTTATACTCTACCTACACATAGTTATGTATAAGAACACATAATAATTTATGTGTTCTTATGTATCGGTATTTTTTTAGTTATCTGTTAGTTTAAAATATTTCTCTCTCTTTCTCTCTTGCACGCAGCGCGCTGTAGCCCGCTTATGACCTTTGTGTTCACTGCCTTGTGTTGGCTGGAATAGATCTCTTTTAGCGATAAGTACCTTTTATATAATTAATATTACAGCTTTTTTGTAAAAATACATTCTTTCTGTACGATCTTTTGTTTTTGTTTCTAGCTAAACCTTCTTGCTACCTGTAGTAATTAGAAGTCTTCGCTTACACGGTAAACGGCGTTGGCAAGAAGCTTGAAACTAAGATATCTCACCTCGGCGCAACACACCGAAAAACAAACAGCGAGCTGTCAAACGTAAATAGGACACGATACCCTGTTTGCCGGTGTTGCAGCAAATAAAAGTATAACGAGAGTTTCGCTACATGTACGACTTTGGTACAGTCCTGAAAGCGCGCTCCGCACACCGAAAATCAAACTCATCATTCATTCTGCACGAAAGGAGCTTCCCCACAACGACGTACTATTTGTGTTCACTGTACATAGGAGTACCCTAAGCAACAATCGGCGAACGCCTTTTGCCGATTGGCAAATCCTTTCACCATAAGAGCGTACATATTTCGCAGTTTAGCACTAAAACCCGATGACTATGTTTTAGATCGCAATAATATAGTGTACAACATAGGTTCCCAAACTTTTTGACTCACCGGCCACTTAAGTAAGATAAAAAAATTTCAACGCACATCAGCACAAAAAATTATTGAAAAGACGTATTTTTCATATTAACTTTACACAAAAAAACACAAGAAAAAAGCTTATATATTTGTAGAGTAGTTTATATAGACAATTCAGGTTTCTTTTAAATGCGGTAGCACGGTCTGGACAGCATCAACGCCCCCCAATTACTTCCCCTACCGGGCCCTTGGACTCTTCAGCAGGACTGGAGGGTGGCGGTAGGGACCTTGGGAAACTATGGTGTACACGATAGATACGACAAGAAAAAGTACACACGATCTAAAAACTACACAGAAAAAAAGGATTTCTACTAATAAGAAAGAGCAATTTCTCAAAATATTTGCTAATTCTGAAAAAATATTTATTAAAAGTAATAAAATATTGTCACTACAAAAATACTGCTTATCTTTTTCTAATACAATTTTACTCTTAACTTTATTCTAACTTTGAGACAAATACGTTCACTTCAAGATTTTATTTCATTTCTAATCAATTAATTGGACATTACTTATATCAAGAAATTTTTACCTCTTACCACATCAAATTTAAATAATCTTAAATGAATTCAAAATTTCTTGGGTGTATTTTAAGAAAATATATTCTTAAACAAAAAAAGAAGTAGTTTTCTATTCAGATTAATATTCTAAATTCTAGAGTATATTCTTAAAGCAACGTTTCGTTGCGTTTTCATAGTCAATCTTGTCGTGACATGTCGCCGAAGGCGCACGCGGTAACGATTACTTTTACTTGTGCTTGTAATCATAAAAATCATAAACAGTCATTTATCCAAAGAAACAATACGTAGTATCTCTAGTTTGTTAAGGTGTTCTTTATAGTCATAATTTAAGAAATTTGGTTACAGCATGAAATCAAACTACACTTGTAACAAGCATAACATGCAATTAGTTCCATCACGCCACTGCTAGATGGCATTAGATGTACTCTGAAACGCCCTATCGTTTTGTTAACTTCAATAGTATAAAGTCATCTCATATACATATTTGGAATTGTTAGTGCTTTCTGCCGCTGTAGCATTTATACGGCACTGGATGGTCCTCAAGTATTTGAGAAGATTCCATATTTCCATCCTATTTCTGCTACTTTAAGGTTTGGCACTGTTGGGTCCATAACCCTGTCAATTTATCCTTTTTGATATTAGAAAACAAATCTTCAGTCAAATAATTAAGTACCTCTCAATTTTTCATTCTTTTTTTTTTTTCAATTCAAAATCGGACATTTCTAATAACAAATAAATATTTTGTTGAATCTAGAGTGGCTTTGTGACTTGAAATAAATTAATTTGCTCTTGGATTAAATATTTCTGTCTTGTAACGAAAATACACTTTTGAGACGTTTTTTTACTATTATCAAGTAATTATTCTCTAGCGTCTATAGGGAGAGAATCGTTTTGTTGGATTTAATAAATTTGTCTTCATAAAAAGAATTTTGTCTTTTTTTAAGTAATCTGTTTTTACCGTGTAATATTGTCTGGGATTATGATTTGTTAGTTCTCCGTGACATTTCAAAGTTTTTAAATAAATAGGTAATAAAATAAATAAACAGTAGACAACATCACACACATTGCTCTGATCCCAAAGTAAGTAACTATACTTCGTTTCAATCCATTTTGAACAAAAAGCAAACAAACAAGTCACTGACCCGACCACAGACGGTTTAGTGGTGGCCAATTGTAACGCCAACCACAAATCGATTAATTAATTGAATGAATCGATTTGTTCAATTGAGTCACACTAGAGGTTTTCCTTACATATACCTATATAAGCATATTTAAAATTTCAATTTAAATCCTCCTTCAAATTCTTACACTTAGATATTCGTTCGATTGCGATTGAAATGTTCGATTTAAAAATCGATTACTAAACTTTAATTGATTGACCCGAATGTTTTTTTTTCGAACAGCGCTATGCAACCATAGGCAAGTCATAGAAGTATAGATGAATAATAACTTCACTTTTGGACCACCATTTTTCAAATACGTATTTACGATGATTTTCAAATGAATATTGTTGGAAAAAGTGATGATATATCAAGTCGAAAACTTCGAAATATACGTGAAAGTGTTACTTATTCGATTTATTGAGTGATTGCTTTAGAATTTTAACCAAACAGGTTTGTTTACTTTTTGTTCAAAATGGATTGGAACAGACTATAAAAGCATCGACAAATTATCTGCGGTAGGAATCGGAAATAACGACGATACCATAAACACCCAGCCCCGAGAGAATATAGACAATTTAGTTTTATACATTGACCCGACCGGGGAACGAACACGGTACTTTAGAGATGGCAACACTATGAAAACCGGTGTGCAAGCCACACGAGCTCGGAGGTCATTTGTTGTCAAATTGTTGAAGCTAAACATTTTCGTCATGTACAACTTCATGCTAATTTTTTAAGACAGTAGAACATTTTCTGTTCTGTGAAATTTTGAAAAAGAAAAGTAATAAATCAAAAGAAGAATAATAACTACCGATGTTAAAAAGTTATATCTATACATTTATCCACCTTTTTTATTAGAATGTGTCCAAACTATGAAACTGATAGCACTACCGTCTTAATAATTCACTTTCCCCAATGTTTCTTGAGGCGATCAAAAATTTATATATTTTTTTGTTACGACCGATTCGCATGCAGGGCTTGCGTTCAACCCACCAACAAATAACTTGACTATCAAAGTTACAGATACATGTAAACCATTACATTGGCAATTGATTGTGATTTCGACAGTCATTCCATAGACGTCAGTGTTCTAAGACAGGACACTTGGATTCCTTTGAAGCATTTTAGACAACAATCTTTGGCTGATTTGGTACTGTCGGAGTTGCAGTTACTTAGGTATTCGTAGTACAGGGAGTTTGAGATTAAGCAGTTGGTATTATCCGGGATATTTATTAAAACTAAATCCTACCTTGAGCATGGTCAGTATCTTCTGCGAGAGCTCGTAGTCAAAGTTGGTGTACTTGGAGTCGGACATGTCGTAGATGAAAACCAATCCAGCACGCTGCGTCTCTATTGACTGCAACGCCACGTCCAGCTGGTATACCACTCCCTGCAACAAGATATAATATTTTAATTGGTAATAATATCTTCTTATTTAAGAGCTATGCTCTTGTCGGTATAGTAATCGCCAATCATCTCTGTTAAGCGCTTTAGCCTTGATTTCGTGATACGACACGACATTAACTTCTTCCTTTATCTGATCTAAATAACTTCGTCTCGGTCTTCCTCTGCCTCTCTTTCCTTCGAACTTCCCTTCTATTATGTTTCTAAGAAAACTGTCGTGACGCATCAGATGACCAAATACATTTTCCCATTTGGTTCTCTATTGTCCTTAATAAGCTTCTCCATGCATTCACTATTCTTAACACCTCCTCATTGGTCTTTCTTTCCGTCGAACTGATTGGGCGGAATCAGCTGGACGGTAATAACATAATCGTAATAATATCAGTCATTGACTTATTAGAAAATAACATTTATTTATGGTAGTAGTTTATAATACTGATATTAGCGAGAGATCGGAATTGCATATGTATTGATATTTGTGTGTTTACAGAAGATTACTAGTTGTATTTGTAATTTTGTATTTGTGGTTTTTATGCGAACGGCTTACCACTATAGGTATATGCAATTCAGAGCTCTCGCGAATACCACTGTACCAAAAATTACCACCAAACCACGGAGTGTGTTCTGCGGTTTGGCAGGAAAAAAAGATCGTGTAAATTTTTATATTAATTATAATACTAATTTAGTTTTGGTTATTTATTTATTGACTCACAACGCAATCAAACCATTCGAATTTCATTAACGCAAAGTCATGCTTTAAGCTGCAAAAAATAAACACCTTATTTTTTATATAACTTGCAAATGTATACAGGTTGATAAAAAAATAGAAAATCTTTTTATTACGCTTAAAAAGGGTTCGCCTTCAGTTTCACGAGTAGATACAGCGAGAGCGGTGTATCGGAAAAAAGTGAGTTACAATGGTAACGCCGCAAGATTTAGAGGCGATAGTAGTCATCGACAGCGAAAGAGGGTAGACAAATATGTCTTCCTTAAAGCTATCAACTGCCGCATGCCAGTCAATCAACTCGACAACGAAGCAGCGCGAAACGACTATCAAATATCGGAAGAGGAATTAGTCATCCCATGATGAGATACCTGTAAGTTGTTAATAACTTATGCGTAGTTCAAACGAAGTGAACCATTGTCAACTTTCAAGAGGCTTATAAACACAAGTGGTTATGGAAGTGATATGGATATGGTATATGGTGGTAACATAGATGAAATCAATGTTCTAATAATCGTATGACAAGTAATATGTACGTAATGGTTATCTCCCCCATATAAAGCGAAGGTCGGCAATAATAAAGTGCTATGATGATTTTTATCAATCTGATAATGGAGCACAGTTTACGAATATTACAATGATTTCAATAGCGATAATAATGACTCATATCCTGTACGTATCAATGTCACTCAAAAGCAGGAGTTGGAGAGGTAAAACAAAACAAAGAAATCATTTATATTTCGGGTCCTCAATTCAATTTTTAAAACTGAACACTCAATATAGCGACTACCGACAAGCTGAGAATTTCAGCGTTTAAGCGCTTTTCAATTTCTTCCAAACACAGATCACTATTTTATGTACAGCCACAAACACCACAGAAAAAGGAATAATATCAATTACGTAGTCGAATCTTAAGCCTTAAGGTGTGCAGCACTCAAGTGTTCCCTTAAAAACATTATAAAGCAACACATAAATAAATGTATTTTTGAACAAGGGGGGATATTCGAAAGACCGCGGAATTTTACCCGGTACGTCCATTTCATTAGTTTGGTCTAATCAGTTACTCAGTACCTAATTAGCCCGAATCTAGTCCCTAGCGATTGTTATTTATTTCCAAATTTGGAAAAATAATTCGACCTACTGAACGAAAACCGGTTGGTCGTCTCGGGTATCGCTGGAGCAACGCCGTGGAAGTGGACCTACGCGAATTACAAGCCATCAATTGGCGAGAAATTGCGCAGGCCCGAAGAAAGTGGCATCATCTCGTTTCGGAGGCCGGGACACATTTTGGGTCGCTAAGCCAGCGGAGTAAGTAAGGAGAAGTTAAGGGAGCAATTTTGACTAATTTTGAGGCCAAAGAGAAGAAATGTTTTTTCGATTTTTTGATTATACTAGAAAGGAAAAATGGTCTCTTTTTTATTTACAACTATTCCAGTCCGCGAACTTTTGGAACTCTCCTCGTAAACGTATATTTCAAAATTACACCGATACTTACAGGACATTATGTCGATACGTATTGTGTATTTGTATGTCAAAGCTGTAAAATTAATTTCAGACCCTTAAGTAATGACACAAACGTAAGAAAAAAAGTAAATAACGGTTCGGTTATTGTTTATGACCGTGATGGTGTGATTTAATTTTGATATTATAAATAAAATATTGAACAATAGACCGACAAATTTCCATTTAAACAGAATCGTTCTAGAACAAATAGCTGACCACGTTCACAGTCCGATCTTTTTTAATTTGGAAATCTAAAACAAATCCAAGTCTAAAGTTGTATTTTATG